CAGAAACAGCGTGGTGAGCTGTGGGAGCAGCAAACCACTTAAAGCAGGGCCACTATGGCCTTCTACAGACTTCGGCTTATTGATAATTTAACAGTTAAACAGTTGATGACTGGCCCTCAGTGAAGATCGAAGCTCAACAACAGGAATTCAAGGATTCCCAAGGAGGAATGGGTGAGTCTCACGGCTCCCAACCCCCTCCTGCAGAGCCCACGCCCGGCAGCACAGCCGCTGCAGCTCCATGAGGCTTCCACAGCCGGAACCAATGGATTCCCTCACCCAGGATGGATGCTGGGCACTGGCCCTCCTCAAGACTGGTGCGGTAAAGCCACCACACTGCCACAAGGTGGACTTTTTCTGGAGAGAATTCTTGGAGCCAGGATGGTGGAGGTGGCAGAAGCAGGCGCCCGCTGGCCACCCGTGAGACAGGGACCGCATGCCCACCAGGCGCCCGATCAGCAGGGGGCAGGGGTGGGCGTGCCCCCAATGGCTGCCCCTGCTGGGGGGGGGGGCGTGCGCACCCTCTGGCCACCTGCACTGGGGGGGGTGCACGCCCCCGCCAGCCACCTGCATGGGATGTGGCAGATTGGATGCGTTCCCCACCATCTGTAGGTTTCGATTTCCCTGGACAGACCAAAGAAGACGATTACCTATACAATGGATTGCTGAAAGTCACTGTGAGTCTGATGACAGTGGCAGCACGCAAAAGAGGACCGACATCCTAAATGCACCACATATTTTGTTCTGTTGAATGCTTCTGCCAAAAGATGGTTAGACCTGGGGGGAGTCTGTTCACAATTCTCAGGTTCCCTTTACCATATATATAGGGGGAGGGTGGGAGGGCAGTGACACCTACTTCAAAAGATAGTATGACCACTTATGGGAGGGGGGGTAAAAGTGGTGGTGCTGGAATTGGAGACACTATCCCTGACCACATAGTCCTCGGTCAGGTGAGGGGACCAGACTGGGGTAGGGACAATTGGAAGGGGAGTATACCAGCCAGCTCCTTGGGGGGGGGGTGTTGCCCTGCTCGGGTCAGGCTGCCCTCGGCCCCCGGCTTGGGGCAAGCCATCATGGCCCTCTGCCTGGGGTGGGCTGCCCTTGGCCCCCGGCTCGGGGTGAGCTGTCGTGGCCCTCAGGGTGAGCTCCTCAGTCCCCAGATTGTGCCATCTGACCCCTGGGAGGGGAAGGGGAAAAAAAGAATGCCTAGGGTATCCAGAGAATATCATATAGGCCACCTTCTGCCACCCTCTCCCCCAGTAAACCTGAAAGCAAGACCCTCAAAGCCCTTCTATTTGTAACTCACAAGTTTGTTCTCTCTATATTTGCTCCCTTTCCTATAGGTAACCTTAACACTGAGTTCTACTCCAGAATTGACCCTGAGCCCAGTACCAGTGACAAAAAAGGAAATACAACTGCCAGCTAAGGAAGCAAAGGAGGATGGAGCCTCTGGGTTCAACCAGCCATCCCCACTGGACCCACCTGGGAAAACACTTTGCAGTCCAGAGGGGAGAAATGACAGGAAAATATCTTCTAACAGAACAAGAAGGCAAGCGGCTTTAACCTAAGACCACCAGTAAGGTGATAAAATGTCCTCCCTTCCCCTCTTTACATTTACGCCCCTGTTCAGCATGAAGAAGCCAGAGAGTTGGCATCAAGTTCCCAAATCAATAAGACAGTGGGTTTAATTACCATTGGAAAATGCTTGTCATTCCTCTGTAGCATCTGGTCCCCACTGGATCCTCATCATTTCCTTCACCTGCTCCCCCCATCGACCAAACTGTGCAGCTCTGCAACTGCAACCCTGCCCACCCTCATCCTTCTGCCCCCAACCCTCACCCCCAATATGTTTTTCCCAATAAAAAAAAAGAAGACATCATTATGGAATTATCACAGTATATTACCTTTCAGCAATGAAGTGATTACGTTTTATCAGAAATAGTGAGAGAAATATCTGTTATAACTGCCATATCAGAGAATTATGGGTAACTAAGTTGAAACATAACCTTAATATTCACAAAGAAACTATGTGATTCAGACACTATGTCATTATCACTATACACACAGTACATATTTGTTTATATTCTTTCCATATCACTAGAACTTCCTGTGTTAAAGTAACCCCTCTGAAATTATTATAGTTGTCCATTAGCACCCAAAACCTGAGTATTAACAAAATTCTTTTTCTAATTGACTGTCTCTGAGTACACAACCCTTTCTAAGCAGATTGCAGGCAGGCTGGTAGAAATCAGTCCATGACAGCTAGAACATAGAAACTGTAGTTCATTTGCTCCCTGGAATCACTGGTCTATGGCATGGTTGGACAAAGCACATGCTCATGGCAGCCATAGGAGTAGTGGCAATGATAGCTCTAATGCCACTGATTCTCCAAAACCACAAACTACAGGATACTTGTGGTCTTGGGACAAAAGTTTAGCTCTGGTTGTTGAGCCTGAATGCCTCATCATCATAAATTCAAAGATTTCCTGGCACCCTTCCTTGCAACCCTGTCTACTTCAAACCATACACCTATCTAATATTGGATATTGCTCAAATGAGAGTTAGGCACTGCACATCTGTACTTACCTTCCCAGGAAATCATACAAGAAATAAAAATCTTGCTAATTTACAAAATATAAGTAACTGTCCAAATAACTGTTGAGTCTACGCTTACAAATCATGGTGAATTACAATATTTTTTCAAAAATGATTTTATTTTTTTACCCAAACAGTATTCCTTATATTATTATCATCAGGCTTCAGAGCTATTGTACATAGGGTCACTATGAGCCTCAGGCAACTCGTCAGCACATAATGAAAACAACAAGAAAAATTAGTGTAAGAAAACTTTATTTTTGTAGTGTGTATTTCCTTTTTTATTGATAATAAAATTTATTAGCATTCCAAATTGGCAGAAATAATAAAAAATAATAAAATAAAGAAAAAGAATTATTGGCAAAAATAATAAAAAACTGTAACTAAAATAGTCAATTGGCTTAATTGAATAAATCATTTACATAATCTAACATTTCTTTCCATAAAAAGCTTGCCTGTATTTTTATCTTGTGATGGTATGGGACTGTTTCCCAGTGGGCTATATATAAAGCTTTATATTCTCCAGTTCTGTGTAAAAGAAGCTAATTTGGAAATAGATTTTTCTGCTTGAGGTAGCAAAGGGTTACTGAATTTAACTGATTATTCACAGTTTACATAATAATTTGTTTGCCTATTTTTTATTTTTGCCTAATGTAATTCTTTAAATTGTTCAAACTTTTTATTTTCATTCACTTAAGCAATAGTGAGAGTTTTAAAAATGTAGTATTGTAACACACTTTTTAAGCAAAAAATTATAAATCAAATCACAACTTAATGCAAATGAAAAAGGAGAAAGTAGATTTTTCTTCTTATATTTACCATTATTTCTTGTCAGTTAAATTCTACTTACTTCTAACTATATTTGCATGCTATGTTCCATGTTTTCTGAAATATTTCATAAATCTTTAAGATCTGCCAGAGATTGAGACAGAGACTTGATATGAGTTATGTAGTTCACTTAGGAAACATTTTTAACCTGTGAAAATGAATCTGTATTTAAAGTCACTCAGAGAATCTTGATTATATTTTTTATGCTCTTTAGACTACAAATAAAAGGTAATTTTTAAATATTGTCCTAACAATAAAGATTTTAAGACAACATATTTTTAAACGAATATAAATTAGAACAACTTTTACCATTTTATTATAACTATTATATATGATTTATGCTTTCAAACAAAGCTTTCTTTAATACACTGTCTTGTTTTTCAATAGTTCTATTAGTATTTATTATAAGAGATTCTTTTTTATTATACTAGCAGGAATTATGTCAAACTAAAATTTTGCTTCTCTGTAGAAATGATCACATTTTTGTATCATATTTTCAATGGATAATATAACTTACTATAAAACATTGCTTTTGCTACTAATTTTTGAATCATCATTCTAATTTAATTCATACTGTTGTTCTTGTTGCTAATTCATTAAAATATTTCTCTTGCAAACAAATTGTTTTGTTTTGTCAAAGACATTTTTCTTTAAAAATGGAAATTTCAGTGTATTAATCTTCAATGAGTGAAATTTATTATTAAAGTTTT